TCTCAAGCTCGCCTCCGGTAATACTTTCCCGGAACGCCTGTGAAAATGCAGTGAGATCCCGGCCCGTGTCTTTAGACGTCCAGCACTTGCAGAAAAGCAGTCTGGAAGTATTTTCAACAAGCAGCTCCAGAGGGAGGTGGCAGCCGGGCCGGGGAGCGGGGTCGGAGGGCGCGACTCAGAGTTGGAAAGGGCTCGGAAAAGCTTAGGGCGAAGCTGGTGATGCAGAGCGTCGGAAAGCCACTGAGCGCGTCCGTCTCATCCGGCCTGTGCGAGCCGGGAGAAAAGCCTGGGGTCCGCTGAAATGGGTTCCAGCTCTAAGCTGCCCCGCAGGGGTCCTGGACACGACCTAGCAAGCAGAGCCCATCGCAGATAAACGGACATGATGGAATTCCGTTTCTCACTTTAGAATGCTAAGGACACCCCACAAGCGTTGACATCATTTTTTAAATTATATTTACTAAAATGTGTCCAAATTCACTCTACTAAGTTGAGTTTAAACTCCAGGGACTTATAACTTCTCTAAAGCAATGGAACTACAGTATCAGTAAAGTCTAAATAAGATGAACAGTCCTCTCTTGTGGACTGCTACAGTGCAGGTTCTTTTGACTTAACAATATTATTTATATAGTGGGTTGATTCATTTCTCTCCCTGGAAAGTTTTCCTATAGTTTACTGATTAGGTTCATTGGCCTAACCTTGGTTTAAAAATATGCTCGCCTCTTTTAATTATTTGAAATAATTTTTTACACAAATATCAATTTGTAGGCAGAATTCATTTATAGTGAAGGACTTAAGAATATGCCACCCTAAAATATGCTGCTCTGATATATTAACGATTTTGAGTTAAAGTCAGCTGAAAAATAGCAGATGCAAGATCACTCTGACCTTTGTTTTGTGAAAGCATGCCATGAATTTCCCATATGAAAAGGTAAAAAATTCCCTATGTGAGAAGGTGAAGTATCATTCTTATCACAGGAACAGGAAATTGAGGTCCAGGGAAGTTCGCACAAATAGTTTTAGACTAACCCTTATTTGCCGAACCACTTCTCCATCAATAAGCTACACTTGCCCAATCCCCTTTGATTTGTCAAATTTGCATAATTTCCAAGTCTTTGTCTAATCCAACATACGTGTTCAACTCTGTGTCTTTTGAGTTTCCACTTTCTTGACTCCCATGCCACATAAAACTTGTATTAAATAAATTCATATTCTTTTCTCCTGTCTGTTGCTCTGTATTAGGTAGATTTAATTCTCAGGTACAGCCAGAAAAAAAGAAAAAACAAACTCCAAGAGGATAGAGGTAAAATTTTGCATCCCTTGCAAGAACATAGTCATTCATGGGGATTCAGATTATCCAAAATTTCTGGTTTCGCAGCCTAAAGCAAAAACTTGTGATAACACTTTTTGGGGGTTGTAGTCCCAGGAAAGTAGAAGTGGAGGAAAGAAAGGAACCAGAGAGATGGAAGAAGAGCAAACATAAAAGAGAGTTTATAACCCATGTCTTAGAGTTATCTTTTGAAATTAATGTTTCTCCCAACAATCCATGAGGGAAAGATAATAAATCACTTGTGGATCCACTGTCCCCTTGATCAAAGTTATCCCCTCCTTCACAGGCCAGGTATGCTTCTGCATAGACACCAATACAATAGATTCCCTCAGCTGCAAGGAGGAGGTCCTGAGGTGGATAACCTCTTTTAAACATGCATTTTCACCTCAGTTAGTGTAAAATTTTCCAGAAAGAGTTACAAAATTTTAAAATAATGGGCTAAAGAAATCACAGATGAATATTAAAAATTAAAAATTTATCGCTAATGAAAATATCACATCTTGTGGAATCAGGGTAGAATATTCTAACCTTTAATTATGCATCTATTTGTATGTTAGAAGAAAAGAATGAAAATTAAGTAAGCAAGCATCTATATTGAGACCTAGGCAAAAGAACAAATAAACCTGAAAATAGGACAAAAGAAATTTTAAAAAAGATAAAAGCAGAGCCGGATGACAGATGATGATGAGTTTTTGTTTTTATCTGCCTACTAAGTTCTACTTTGCCTTTCACCCACTCCTGGAAGATAAACCACTCCTTACACACACAGATATAGAAGGAGGTTTCAAAGTTTCTCAATGTCTTCACAGTATTCAAACTACATTTAAATTTTCTTAAAAGAAGAAAGAAGCCTACTTTTTTTCAACAAGGAAATGTTAAAACCCTGACAGAAGCTTTCAGGCTTTCCCAACTCCATTCTTCTTCTATCAAGGCTCCCACACAGTTTCCCATCCGCTGTGGCACGTTATTAACTCCTGCCTGCCCTAGAAGTTGCCACAGAAAGAGTTGTTTCACCATTCAACTAGTTCTAAAAAAGCAAGAGCCTTAGTTGAAATCAGATAAATTCAGTCTCTAAAGGTGAAGCTACTTGTGTTGTTCCATTCTGCTCAGTTACATGCATGTGACAAAAGCAAATCACTCATTTGCCCTCAACAAAACTAGACATTGTGTTTGTGACAATTGCAAGGAAGGTTGGCTAATGCATTCCTGGCAGCACAGAGAAACTACAGCAAACTCTGAGCTGAAATGGAGTTCTAAAGTAAGTCTTCCACGATAAAGGTTAGAGGGGTCTTAATAGGATCGGTGTGTTAAAAATTATCAATGTAGAAGGCCACCTCTCTGTGCTCCTCCACAGCCTCCCCTAAAACCATCTTTCTCCTCAGAAGTTGGATCGTTTCTTTCTCCCCCCACAGCCATCAGAAGTTCCACCTCTCCAACTCCTGGAGCTCCACCACCCACCCCAGTCACACTTTAGAGTTGGTAACTGGTTGAAGTCTCTCAATTTCCTCTGTACATCCAGTCCAGTCAGAAATATGGGCACTGAATTAGAATGCATATGTTTCTGCATTGCAGTTGCTATTTGTAAGTGTTGGTCCAAACGTAAGCTGGCCTGGCCTAATTGTACTTTCTCTTACAAATAGATGAAGACGTCCTCTACCAAGACAAAAATTATGTGAAAAATTTCCACAGGTTTTTCTATATTGCAATTTCAGGTTCTGTGATAATTAAGTCAATGTCAACATTAGCATGAATGAAATCCCATCTGTGCTTAACTTCATAGTGCTTTGATCCCCATAAGACAGTGTTCCTTTGTTCTCTGGAAAACAGTCTTTGGACTAGAGTCTTCCTCTTTGATTTTGTTCATTTTAATCCAACAAATATCTTCACATCTTCTATAACGCCATTTGACAACTTCCATATTTTTGTTGTAGGTCATTTGTAATAACATAGCCTAGGAAATAATATGTCTGTGGAGGGTGCATACTTATCATCTACTGAGTTCATCTTCCTTCCTAAATATAGGTTTTACATCCAGAATATTATATAAATTGAGGTATTTAGCTGGTAAAATTCCAGATACACTGGAATAATAATACACAATTTTAAATTGTATGTTGGATTACATTTTTAGTTAAAAAAAAAATGAAGTACAGTTAGGGAAACTATGATATTTGTCACTTAAATAGCTATATTTTCTGGGTGATAGGATAAAAGGGCTTTCCTCAAACTCATGAACAACATATGGATAACTTACATAAAGTAGTATTTTATTTGATATCATGGTCCTGATACTGTAGAGGTAAAACAGTGAAGATGACTTTGTGAACAAAACAGTAACAGAATAATGGTGATGATGACAGCAAACATTTATTGACTCATGTACAGGAGGCACTCTGCAAAACACTGTTTTGATTATCTCACAAATCCTCACACTGCCCCTTGGAAGCAGACACCATTATCCTTATTGAATTTATTTGTTTGAGACGGGTTCTTGAACACATTGACCTGTCTGTCCTCAAACTCCTGAAGTCAAGCAGTCTCCTGCTTCAGCCTCCTGTGCAGCTGGGACTATAGGCAGCATCCCTCCCAATGGGCCTTTATTTTGTTTCTGATTTTTTTTTTTTTTTTTTTTTTGCGGTTTTGTGGATCAATTCCAGGGCCTCTTACATGTTAGGCAAGAGCTCTACCACTCTACCACTCTACCACTGGCCCTATCTTTGTTTTTATAAAAAACTGAGGTAATTTGATCAAGATTGCCTGGTTAGGCAATCTTGAGCAATGAGGCCAAACCTTGTACAAGGCAGTCTGGATTGAAAACCACTGAGTTCTCTGACTCTTCTGGATTATAGCTGTAGTAAGATAACAAATTTCTAGGCCAGATCCATTTTCAAGTGTTTTGCACCATTGGTGAATGTATAACTCAAGGTTTTCACATCATGTGTTCTGATTTATGAGTTTTTAGAAATACAGTCACTATTGGATACTGGCAGGAAAAGGATACAGAAGACCTGGCCCCATTTTCAGTTGACAATAGCTTGAGAATCTTGCGATTACTCTCTGGGTCTTAGTTTCTTCATCTTCGAAATAAGAACTTTGGACAATATTCCTTCAGGTGCTTTTAGACTCCACGAGGGAATAATTAATCCTTTAAAAGATTACCACAATAGGGCTAGGGATCTAGTTCACTGGAAGAGTGCTTGCCTAGTGAGGCCCTGGGTTCAATCCCAGCACTGCAAAGAGAAAGAAAAAGCTGAAAATAACAATTCAGTACTACTCAGGGAGAGGAGAACATTTTGAAGTAAAAGCAAAAGCCTGTTACTTCACTGGGCATGGTGGTGCACACCTGTAATCTCTACTCAGAAGCTGAGGCAGAAGGATATGAGACTGAGGCCAGCCTGGGCTACATAACAAGACCCTGTCTTAAAGAAAAAAAGAAAGAAAAGAAAAAGGAAAAAAGGACTGAGAATGTACTCAATGCAGAGCACTTGCCTAGCATATAAAAGGCCCTGGGTTTGAGTCTATGGACTAGGTTCTCAAATAGATTTTTATATAAGAGAATAAAATTGATATGTTGCCATATGATATCATAACACTCCTCTTTTTTGTTTAATTTTTAGAACGTTGGAAATAATCGCTAAACCCACTTTTGGATATGGTATCAAAACACAGCTTTATTGCCTAGAGGTTGATTTATAGAGCAATTATGGTTCGACTGACATTGGATTTAATTGCCAAAAGCAGCAATCTTAAACCACGAAAAGAAGAAACTATTGCACAATGTCTGAAGAAAATAACTCATATAAATTTTTCAGAAAGAAATATAGATGCAATTGTAAGATCTCTGAAATTATTTCCTATTTTGCATAATTAACAATGTAACACTTAGAAACTGGTTTGAGGCCTACTAATATATTAATTTTATTTGACTTTACTCACTAACTATAGTTTTACCAGGAAGTTTTATATTTTCATTTCCTTTTATTTCTTGTGAGATCAATCATATTAAATCTATACCATACACAAGGCCCTGGGTTCAATCTCTAGTACAACAAAAAAATTAAATCTATAAAATATAGCATCGTGTTGTGACTTCTGCAAATATATGTTAAATATATATGTTACTGTTTCCTTAAAATACTCTACAGTAGGGCAAACTAGATTTGGAAAATAACTTCAAAGATAATTGCTTTTGTATAATTCTATACCATTGGAATCTAATTTTTTACATCTGAAAATGTAAAGAAAGGACTGTTTAAGTGCCATAATTAAAAAGCTCAACAGTAAGGCTGGAGATGCAGCTCAGTGTGGTACACCTAACATGCCCAAGGCACTGTGCTTGGTGCCCAGCACTGCCCCAACATTCAATGTGAACTCTTTTTTGTACATAATTTAACTGATGTGTAAACATATGTTAGATGCTGGGTCAGTTGTAGCAGACAAGAATACTTTTACTTGGATATACTCTGCAACTACTTATTCTCAGTGCTAATGTAATACTTGGCTTTAATTTGGGAGACTCTAAAGGCTGAAGTAACTCTTTTGGGTCATTTGTATTGGTATCTATTATCTACAATAAATGCTAAAGACTATGGATGAGCTGGGCATGGTAGTGCACATCTGTGATCCCAGCTACTCAAGAGGTGAAGATCGCGAGGATCAGGTTTGAGGCCAGCCTGGCAAAAAGTTAGATCCCATCTCAACCAACAAGCCAGACAGTGGTGTGTGCACGTAATCCCAGCTATAGGGAGGTGTATGTAGGTAGAGGGATCCTGGTCAGAGGCCCTCCTTGGGCAAAAATGGGAGACCCTATCTGAAAAATAACTAAAGCTAAAAAAGGGCTAAGAGAGTGGTTCAGGTGGTAGAGCACCTGCCTAGCAATCACAGGGTCCTGAGTCAAACTCCAGAATGGCCAAAAAAAAAAAAGACTATAGATGAGAGGAAATTTCTTGGAAACACAGAAGCTATGTGAGTACAAGGGTGATTTCCATTCTGTTCACAGCATCCTAAATCCCCCATGTAATATATGCCTGACTCATATCAAGTGATTAACAAATACTTATTAAATGAATGAACACAAAATCCTCAGGCAAAACTGTCCATTAAGGAACGTTTTGGACCCTAGTTCAATCCCCCGTACTGCAAAACAAACAAAAGGTTTGGGAGGGCTGGGGCCTGAGCTCAGTGGTAAAAGGTTTACTAGCCTATCATGAAGCCCTGGAGGCCCAATCCCTTGTGTGACAAAATTTTTAAAAAGAAATGAGGATGTAGCTCATGGTAAAGAGCACTTCTCTAGCATGCATTAAGCCCTGTGTTCAATACCCAGTAGCTTAAAAAAAAGAAAGAAAGGAAGGAGGGAGGGAGGAAGAAAGAAAGGAATCCTACCACTCAGAGCACTCAGAGATAACCACTTTTAATATTTAGGTATTTCCCAGTCTATTTCCTAAACATGTATATATATTATTTTACAATAGTGGGCCATAGGAATGTACTGTTTTCACTTAATTATGCATTATGAAATCTACAAGATATTGCTAAATTAACTAAAGGATATTTAATGGTTTCACTCAGAGTATCATAGTTTTTAATTAATCCACACATTTTGAATTATCAGATGATTTCTAATTTTCAGTATTTTTTTTTCATTTTTCTTTTATTATTCATATGTGCATACAAGGCTTGGTTCATTTCTCCCCCCTGCCCCCACCCCCTCCCTTACCACCCACTCCACCCCCTCCCGCTCCCCCCCTCAATACCCAGCAGAAACTATTTTGCCCTTATCTCTAATTTTGTTGTAGAGAGAGTATAAGCAATAATAGGAAGGAACAAGGGGTTTTGCTGGTTGAGATAAGGATAGCTATACAGGGCATTGACTCACATTGATTTCCTGTGCGTGGGTGTTACCTTCTAGGTTAATTCTTTTTGATCTAACCTTTTCTCTAGTTCCTGGTCCCCTTTTCCTATTGGCCTCAGTTGCTTTAAGGTATCTGCTTTAGTTTCTCTGCATTAAGGGCAACAAATGCTAGCTAGTTTTTTAGGTGTCTTACCTATCCTCACCCCTCCCTTGTGTGCTCTCGCTTTTATCATGTGCTCATAGTCCAATCCCCTTGTTGTGTTTGCCCTTGATCTAATGTCCACATATGAGGGAGAACATACGATTTTTGGTCTTTTGGGCCAGGCTAACCTCACTCAGAATGATGTTCTCCAATTCCATCCATTTACCAGCGAATGATAACATTTCGTTCTTCTTCATGGCTGCATAAAATTCCATTGTGTATAGATACCACATTTTCTTAATCCATTCGTCTGTGCTGGGGCATCTTGGCTGTTTCCATAACTTGGCTATTGTGAATAGTGCCGCAATAAACATGGATATGCAGGTGCCTCTGGAGTAACAGTCTTTTGGGTATATCCCCAAGAGTGGTATTGCTGGATCAAATGGTAGATCGATGTCCAGCTTTTTAAGTAGCCTCCAAATTTTTTTCCAGAGTGGTTGTACTAGTCTACATTCCCACCCACAGTGTAAGAGGGTTCCTTTTTCCCCGCATCCTCGCCAACACCTGTTGTTGGTGGTGTTGCTGATGATGGCTATTCTAACAGGGGTGAGGTGGAATCTTAGTGTGGTTTTAATTTGCATTTCCTTTATTGCTAGAGATGGTGAGCATTTTTTCATGTGTTTTCTGGCCATTTGAATTTCTTCTTTTGAGAAAGTTCTGTTTAGTTCACATGCCCATTTCTTTATTGGTTCATTAGTTTTGGGAGAATTTAGTTTTTTAAGTTCCCTGTATATTCTGGTTATCAGTCCTTTGTCTGATGTATAATTGGCATAATTTTCAGTATTTTAAACCATTAACAGCATTAACAGTGTACTTACAAATCTACAGAAAGATAAGTATAAAGCTCTGCTTTACAATACTGGGACAATAATTTGTTCAACGTTTTAGACTTCAAAGGAGCCTAATTGCTTCCAAGGAAAATTGTTTGCACTGGGAAAATCTTTTTCTTTCTTTCTTTTTTTTTTTTTTGGTGGGGAGAGCTTGAACTCAGGGCCTCGTGCTTGCTAGGCAGGCACTCTACCACTTGAGCCACTCCACCAGTTCTGAAAAGCTTAACAAACACAATTTTACTGCTATAATTACAGGATGCTAAAGTCTAGAACTTATTTTGTAATTACTGTAATCTTATTTTGACTGCCCTTAGAACAGAAAAATGTTATTTTATATTAACCATTAAGAAAATTGTAGAAAGCTCAAGTGAAAAACTTTCTTAAAAACAACTTTCTAAGTTTTCAGAAGAAATTAAATATGACTTGTTTCTGTTTTCCTTTTAGGATGACCTCTCCCTTTGCAAAAACCTTAGTGTTTTATATTTATATGACAACCATATTAGTCAAGTGGGTAACCTGAATTATTCCACAAATCTGACCCACTTGTACCTACAAAACAATTGTATTTCATGCATAGAGAACCTCAGGTCATTAAAGAAACTGGAAAAATTGTAAGTGCTTTTCTTTCTGAGTAAATTAACTGCTTGCCGTTGTCACAGTACATATTTTATGGAGGGAGGCAATTCCAATTTCTGCATTAGGTTTCAAAAGTAAAGTGAAAATGTATTGGAATCTGATTCTCACAGATGTTTTGTGGAACAGGCCTCAATTTTTATTTTTATACTATTATTCATATGAAATAAAGTGTTTCCCATGTAATACTAAGAAATCTATATTTTATTAAGCCTGATACACTATTCTATTGGGGAGGGAGGTAAGTTGTGCTATAAGCTTTTATGGACACTTAAGAATCCTCATATAGGCTCAATTGGTCAAAAAGTTTCCACTGAATCCAGGTTAAGTTCTGTGCCTTTGAGAGTTACACGTCTCAAAAGGTCAGGTGATTTCAATCAGACATGGTAGCTCACACTTGTAATCCCAGCACTCAGAAAGTGAAGGAGGATTGAGAGTTTGAGGCCAACCTGGGCTACATAGTGAGACCTTGTCCCCCCCAAAAAAAAGTCAAGGTCACAGAACTGATAATACTTATGCAATTTAATTGTAAAAAGGCATTTACTGCCGTAATAATTACAGTTAGGTAATGAAGACTGGAAGATCCAAGTTTTCCAGAATGGAATAGCTATCATGTTTCTCAAACAGTTGACCAGTGCCTCAGAATGGGGATACAAGAGTGGGGTGGCAAATACTTGTTCAAATGCAGATGGCTGGGTTCCAACCTAGACATCCAAATCAGAATGTCTGAGAATTAGACCTAGAAATCTTCATTTTTAAGCCTATGATCCAGGTGATTCTTCTGAATCCTAACATAGGAGCCCTGGTAGTGTAGTAAAGACTATTTCAATTCCATCACCTTAAAAAATTTAAAATATATTTTTGGAGCTGGGCCAGCTCAGGCCTGTAATCCCAGGTACCCCAGAAGTAGAGACAGAGATGATTACAGTTTGAGGCCATCCTAAGCAAAAAGTTAGTGAGACCCCATCTCAATCAATAAGGTGGGCTTCATACCTGTAATCCCAGCTACAAGAGAGACATAGGTAGGGAGATAGAGATCTCAAGCCAGGCAAAAACATAAGACCCAATCCAAAAATAAGGAAAAAATAAAAAAGGGCTGAGGGCACTGCTCAAGTGGTAGAGCACCTGCCTAGCGAACTCCAGGACACAAGTTCAAACCCCATTACTACAAAAATAATAAAATAAAATAAAAGTTATATTTTGGATTAAGTGTAAGAATATAAATTGTTGTCATTTAGATAAACTTTTCATAGAATCAATATAAACACGATATTCTTCACTCTTATCATGCTTAAAGACCGTGGCATTCTCGGAAAGTCTATTCAGAACTGTGTCTATGTTTTGCAGGTATCTGGGAGGCAATTACATTGCTGTTATAGAAGGTTTGGAAGGATTAAAAGAACTAAGAGAGCTTCACGTTGAGAGTCAGAGGCTTCCCCTTGGAGAAAAGCTTCTGTTTGACCCAAGAACTCTTCGTTCCTTGGCAGTAAGGTCGCATTTGAATATTTGAACACGGGTATAGTGAGTAGCAAGTTAGAATGGGAACAGGAAGGTGGTGAAGGTATATTTGACACAGACATTATCTACTTGCTTAAAAGGCCAGCTGAGAGTTTATTCAGGGACTGGATCTCATGTTCTCACGTCTTAAGAGTACGACAGTACTACAAAGTAGGACAGTATAGCTCACCTCTTAGACTAACTGGAATGTTCAAAAGAAGGATGTGAAAGGCTTAATGTAAATTATTTTCTAATACAGATGTCCATTCATAATTTGGATCTCACTAATTATCATGGCTTACAATTAAAAATTGTAGGAATGTTTAAAGAAAAAGGAGTGTATATTTATTTGACAACATTTTTTGAGGCAGGGTCTTGTTATATTACCCAGGCTGGCATCACACTCATGATCTTTCTGTCTCAGTCCCCAAGTGCTGGGATTACCAGGCATGTGCCACAATAGCCAGCTACTTGGCAATTTTTAGTACCCAAGTCATTGCAATAGGTCATTTTCTCCCTGGACTCTGATTTGATTTTAAGCTCTATAGCACATGGCTCTGCCTCATCAGAACTATGCATCCCTAGGAGTACCAGGTTTGAGGCTCCAGCTGTGTTACTTGACAACTGGTCACTGGCATGAAGGTGCACAATAATTTGAGAAGCCAGAAGGCACCAGAGGCTCTTGCTGCTCCTCAAAACAGGGGAAAGGATTTGTTGGACAGGCTACTTTCTATTCTGGGGTAGGAGATATAAGTGACACATGGTTGCTGTTTACAGATTTCATCAGTTCTATTTTAAGGGCATGAAATAGAGGGCAATATGGGGTCTGTTGAATCAAGTTTATAATTGATTCAACATTGAGAGGTGGATATATAATTAAGAGGTAGATATTTAAGGTGGAAAGAAAGATGTGATCTGGTTTCTATCCTACACTCACCACAGCATCAGCTATTACCAACCATAGCTCAACCTCAGTGATTCCAATTAGACCAAAGCATCACTGAAAACATTTTTGCTGGTTCAATTTTTGCATAGATTCAAGCAGATTCTGAAATTCGAAATATAAAGCACCATTTGTTTTTCAGTTTTATTTCAAGTCTTAAAAAGTATCAGGAAGGGGGCTGGGCATGTGGCTTAAGTGGTAGACCATCTGCCTCACAAGTGCAAAGCCCTGAGTTCAAACCCCCAGACCACCAAGTAACTAATAAGCAAAACAAACACTGAATGAAAAAGTATCAGGACTGGCTGGTGGAGTGGCTCAAGTGATAAGAGTGCCTGCCAAGCAAGTGTGAAGCCCTGAGTTCAAATCCCAATACTGCCAAAAAATGAAAAAAAAGTATCAGGAAATATTTTTCTAAAGGTCTGCTGCATATGGGTGCATTGGTGAGTATACTCAATCTTGGTAGAGATCCCTGGGCCTCAGATTTTTAAGATAATTTTGATTTAGTGTTCTCATATTATATATATTTATATCCTCATTAATGGTCAACATTGAAATCTTTACTAAATACTTTCTTTCAAGTGGCTTCTGAACATGTGGATTGTCAAGAGCAAATGAGAGGTCACAGCAAAAATAAAAAATAGATATTCAGAGGCTGGTGGAGTGGCTCAAGTGGTAGAGTACCTGCCTAGCAGACCCTTTCAAACCGCAGTGCTGCCAAAAAAATAAAAATTAAAAAAAAAAAAACCCAGAAATTCTTTCATGCTTGGTCATGTTTCCTCTTTAGAAAAACAAAGATAAAAAATATATCTTCCCTATTAATACAAATCTCAGTGATATGTAGCACAAAATGGTAATTTGTTTAAACTGCAATAAACATTTTTTTTTCTACATTGTGCTATCATTTGTTTATCGGAGCATCTTTTCTCTTTCTTTATTTTTGATTCTTGGCTTCTTTACTCTAAATTTATCTTGTATCCTGGAAGAGGAAAATAGGACTTATGGAAGAACTAGAGGCAAAAAAAGAGAGCAAGATATATATACTACAGTTATAAAAGTTCCATCTGAAAAAAATAGAGCATTGAAGCAGAATCTTTATGGGTTCTTGTTTTTTGTTTTTTGTTTTTGTTTTTTGGCAGCACTGGGGTTTGAACTCAGGGCCTTGTGCTTGCTAGGCAGACTCTCTTACCACTTGAACCACTCTTGCCAGCCCTTTTTTGTGATGTGTTTTTTTCATAATAAGGTCTCATATACTATTTGCCCAGGGCTGGTCTCGAACTGCAATCCTTCTGATCTCTGCCTCCTGAGTAGCTAGGATTACAGGTGTGAACCGCCGACTTGCAGCTTTCCATGGCTTTTGATTTTCTTGTATAAAGAGCAAAATAATTTGAACTGATAAATCTTAAACTGTTCGAGGATTAGGATTCCTGTATATAGGTTCCTATATACAGTAATTAAACTTTTTATTAATGGTAATTTAGTTATTTTTCTTACAGAAATCTCTCTCTATATTGAATATCAGCAACAATAATATTGATGACATAAAAGACTTAGAAATACTGGAGAATCTTAATCACCTCATAGCAGTGGACAACCAACTCCTCCATGTGAAGGTAGTGTAAAAAAAAATTCCAAAATATTCACAGGAAATTGTGGTTGAAAAATATGTTTTCAAATATCTGGAAAATATCACTTTAAAAAATACTTCTGGATTTGTTCTAAAACTATGTTATGAATCTCTACTGCTTAATATGTTTATTCATTATTTTTAGTTGTCATTTATTTTCATATATTTATTTATTACTCCATAATTTTCTCTCTTATCTGGGCACTGGGATATCTTCTCCATAACCAGTGCTTCAATCCCTCACCAATACAGTAAAAGTTTCTGAGAAGGAACTACATGCTCTTTCTGCCTACATTATTTATTCATCAACTTTTCCTTCTAGAGACTAGCTGTCTTCCCCCTTAACTATAACCTCCCTGTGAATGAGTTTCTAAAACCTCTGATGACACCTGAACACTCTGCTGGCTGCTCCTACATGGATAACTACCCTGGGTAGTTATTCTAGTTTATTTTAGCTATATTCATGTCCTGTTGTATCATGCACATTCATTCAATTACTCATTTGTTCAAATAGGTATTGGGCACCTACATATTTTTTAGGCACTGTCTCACAGAAGGAAGGAAGGATTCAGTTCCAGGTCTCAAGAACCATACAGTGGCCAGGCACCAGTGGCTCACCTATAATCATTGCTACTCAGGAGGCAGAGATAAGGAGGATCAAGATTTGAGGACAGCCTGGCCAAACAGTTCCATAACCTTGAAATAAAAACAGAATTCTGTTTTTAAAGGAATATTAAGTGAATAAGAGAGAACACGTAGAACTTAAAATAGGATAGGAGAAATTGAATATTTAATATAAAATTTAAATAATAAAATTAAAGCCAGGCATTGGTGGGTCACACCTGTAACCCTAGCTACTTGGAAGCTGAGATCAGGAGGATCAAGATTCAAGGCCAGCCTGGGCAAAAGGTTCACAAAACCCCATCTGAACTAATAGCTGGGTGTACTAATGTCCACCTGTCATACCAACCTCCATGGCAGGCTGAAAATGTAAGGGTCGCAGTTCCAGGCCACCCTGGGCAAAAAAAAAAAATCATGAGACCCAATCTCAACAGAGAAAAGCTGAGTGTGGTGGCATATGCCTTCCATCCCAGCTACTGCAGAAAATGTAAAGTAGGAGGATGGCTTTCCAGGCTGGCCCGGGCAAAAGCTAAAACCGTATCTCCAAAATAACAGAGCAAAAGGGCTGGAGGCATGGCTCAAGTGATAGAGTGCCTACCTAGCAAGCAAAGCCCTCACTCAAATCCAGTACCACCAAAAAAAAAAAAAAAAAAAAAAAACTGAGAAAGACATGACACAAATGGGGAAAAAATTTTGTGAATGTCATATCCAATAGTCTTGTATCTAGAATATATAAGGAACTATTACAAGACAACAACAAAAAGGCAATCCAATTTTTAAATGGGGCAGACTTGAATAAATAAAATATGCAGTACTCATGTTAAGAAATACTCAACATTATTAGTCGTTAGAAGATGCGAAGCAGAAGCACAATGAGAGCTACAACAGAGCTGAACCTTCAGGACATTATTTTAAAAGAAATAAACCAGTCACAGAAGACAAATATACTGTTCAATTGCAAAACCACAGACGCAGGGCTGGCAGCGTGGCTCAAGTGGTAGAGCACCTGCCTAAATCACAGACACAGAAAGTAGAGTGGTCAGGCCTGGTGGCGCGCCCCTCACCTGCAGACCCAGCTACTCAAGAGGCTGAGGCAGGAGGACTGCTTAAGGCCAGGAGATCAAGACCATGAAAACAACACAGTAAGGCCCATCTCAGAAAAAGAAGGAAGGCAGGAAGAGGGAAGAGGGGAGGGAAGGAAGGAAGGTTGGTTGGTTGGTTGTGACTAATAGTTGGGGGAGAGGAGAGTGCACAGTTGTGTAATGAGTTTCAAATTTACAAAATTAGCTGTACATTGAAACATAGTTAGATGACAAATTTTACATGTATTTTCCCACAATTAAAAAAACTGGGGAAAATCCCACAATGGATAATTCCTCACACCCACTGAAGTGGCTGTAAATACTATTACTACTACTACAATAATAATAATAGAAAATAACAAGTGTTGGCAATTATATGGAGAAACTAGAACCCTCATATATTTCTGGGAGAATGTTCTAGAAAACAGTCTGGAAGTTCCTCAAAATGGTAAACATAATTTTCATATGTCACAAAATTCTGCTTTGTATACCTAAGAGAAAAATGAAAACATGTCTTAACACAAAGCTTGTACATGAATGTTGATAGCAAAATTATTCTTAATAGTCAAAAAGTAGAAACAAATGTCTACTGACTAATAAATGGATAAAAGAATGTGTGTTTATGAAAGAGAGTATTTGGGAATGAAATAATGGTTCACACTACAGCATGATTGAGCTTTGCACAACATTATGACAGAGGCCAGTTACAAAAGCCCACAAATGGTAAGGTTCCATTACGCAATGGCCACAACAGACAGCTACAGAAGCAGGGCTGGAGCTCTGGGGAACACAGGAAGTGATATTAATTATTGGAGCAGTTAAAATGTTCTGAAAACTGATGTGCTGATTGTTGCACAGCTCTGAGAATATACTCAAGTCACAGAATTACGCACTTTCCCCATGGCCTGGGGATCGGCCGCAGGACCTTGTGCTTTCTAGGCAAGAGCTCTCCCACTTGAGCTGCCTCCCGGTCAAATCATGCACTTTCAATGTGTGAATCTTATGGAGCATCAATTATATCTCAATAAAACACCTTAAAAAACTGAAGAACAGTATCAAAAAACAAGAAAGAAACAGTGGCCCAAAATTCTCAAATTTGATGAAACTTTAAACTCTTAGATTCATGAAGCTAAACATAACCCAAATAGGAAAATCCCAAAGAAAAATTACAGCAAAGGCTCATCACAATAAAATTGCTAAAAGCCTTTTACAATGCAAATATCATAAAAGCAAATGGAGGAAAAGACATTTTATGTACAAGAAAAGATATGAATTATTCTAGAGTTCTAATCAAAAGCCATGCAAGCCAAAGGACAATATAATTACATTTAAAATATTAAAAGAAAAAAACCTGTCAACTTAAAATTTGTACATCCAGTATATATCCAGTGAAACTATTTTTGAGGAAAAAATGAAGACAAAATAAACATTGTTTTAAGATAAGAGAGGGTAGAATTCCAAGATGGCAGCTAGAGGGAGGAAGCAGAAAGCTTGCCTCCTAAAGTAAAATCTTGGAGAGACGCTGGAGATACACCTTACAGGAAAAACCACCGAGAAGAGGCAAAACTTTGACTCCTCCACACCTCCAGCCTGATCACAATGCAGTAAAAGTAGAACTCAACAACAAAAGTAAAGACAAAAAACATGCAAACAGCTGGAAACTAAATAACTCTTACTTAATGAACAAGGATCATCGATGAAATAAAAGAGGAAATTAAAAAGTTCCTGGAAGTCAATGAAAATGAAAACACAACCTATGGAACCTATGGACACAGCTAAGGCAGTCCTGAGAGAAAGTTTATAGCCATGAGTGCATATATTAAAGACTGAAAGATCCAAATCAATGACCTAATGATACATCTCAAACTCCTAGAAAAACAAGAACAAGCAAATCCCAAAACAATAGAAGGAGAAGAAATAATAAAAATAAGAGCTGAAATCAACGAAATAGAAACAAAAAACCATACAAAGAATTAACAAAAGTTGGTTCTTTGAAAAAATAAACAAGATCACAGACCCCTGGCAAACCTGACTAAAATGAGGAGAGAAAAACCCAATTAGTAGAATCAGGAATGCAAAAGGGAGATAAAACAAATACCATGGAACTTTAGGAAATCATCAGAGACTACTTTGAGAACTATATTCAAATAAATTTTGAAAATCTTAAAGAAATGGACAGATTTCTAGATACATACGATCATCCAAACTGAACCAAGAGGAAATTAATCACCTGAAATGATCTATAACACAAAATGAAATTGAAGCAGCAATCAAGAGTCCCCCAAAAAGAAAAGTCCAGGACCTGATGGATTCCTCTCGCTGAATTCTATCAGATCCTTAAAGAAGAACTGATACCAACCTCCTTAAACTGTTTCCACGAAATAGAAAGGGAAGGAAAACTGCCAAACACATTTTATGAAGCCAGTATTACACTATCCCAAAACCAGGCAAAGACACCTCCAAAAGGCGAACTATAGGCCAATCTCCTTAATGAACATTGATGCAAAATCCTCATAAAATAAATGGCAAACCGAATTCAACAACACATCAAAAAAGATCATTCACCATGACAAGTAAAGGCTTCATCCCAGGAATGCAGGGTGTTCAACATACGAAATCAATAAACGTATAACCACATTAACAAGCAAAGGACAAAAAACACTTGATCATCTCAATAGTATGCAGAAAAGCCTTTGATAAGATCCAACACATTTCATGATAAAAGCTCTAAGAAAACTGGAATAGAAGGAAAGTACCTCAACATTATAAAAGCTATATATGACAAACCTACAGCCAGCATTATACTTAACGGAGAAAAACTAAACCATTCCCTCTAAAATCAGGAACCAGACAAGGATGCCCACTATCTCCACTCCTATTCAACATAGTACTGGAATTCCTAGCCAGAGCAATTAGGCAAGAAGAAGGAATAAAAGGAATACAAATAGGTAAAGAAACTGTCAAAATATCCCTATTTGCAGACGACATGATCCTATACCTTAAAGACCCAAAAAACTCTACTCAGAAGCTTCTAGACATCATCAATAGCTATAGCAAGGTAGCAGGATATAAAATCAACATAGAAAAATCATTAGCATTTCTATACACTAACAATGAGCAAACTGAAAAAGAATGTATGAAAACAATTCCATTTACAATAGCCTCAAAAAAAATCAAATACCTAGGTGTAAACCTAACAAAAGATGTGAAAGACCTCTACAAGGAAAACTATACACTTCTGAAGAAAGAGATTGAGGAAGACTATAGAAAGTGGAGAGATCTC